ATTTTACCACAGCCACAAAAAGGGCAAAACAGAACCAGGTGCCTCAAAATAAATGGGCAATAGACCACCACCCATGCACAAAACAAACCGGCACTTTTAATAATAGAAATGTTAGACTCCACTTGGTAAGGAATTCTTCATTTTACCAAGGAGGTAAATGAAGTTAAGGAAACCGTGAAGCAGCTTGTCATACATTACAAGTCATACACATAAGAGGTTAGATTAAGTGGAAATAGTACTTGAAGGGAGCAAGGAGGATGATTATTCTGACTCTCAATCCTTTCCATTCCACCAGACAAGTAAAGTCTAAAGAATGGTATTTTTAAACTTTTAAAAACGCTAGAGATAAAGTAGTAGTTCAGAAGTCCATTGCCTCTTAAACATAAGCTCAATAGCCTTTTTGACAGTTTCAAAGAAGACGAAAAAAACATCCCTTTTAAAAAAAAAACCTCAAAAGTTGGATACCTTTTCTCTTTCTTGTCCTAGATGCTGGTAAACATGTAAGCAAAACTCCTTTCCACGAATACAAAAAATGAAGAGTAGGTTTCCCCGTCATGAGAAATCAAAGAGTTCATCCCCTCTCCCCGCAGAAAGGGAAAAAACCCATAACAGAGGCTCCTCCTGGACACCTCCAGTAACCAGACATGGAAGAGTCAATCCCCGAAAAGGATCAGCTTCTCAAGAGATAAGGAGGGTACTCGTCATTCTTCATGAATCTCAACTCCGGAAAAGGGACACCTGCTGTACATGCAGAGAAGTGAAGACTCTCCTCTCTCAAAAGGTTTAGACCGGGCTGGCGCTTGCTGGAATTTGCAAGGAGTCTCCTACAAAATGCTGACAGAAAGCTTCCAGTGCTGCCTCTCCGAGAACTGGGACACGTTTGGTTTGGAAGTTTCTTTCCTCTTTCCCTAATTTTGTCACATAAAACACCTCGAAAAAGATTCTTGTGAGGATCCCTATCGCACCATCAATTCCTCCGCCCCACCCCCCCTCCCAAAAAAAGGAAAGCTACCGCAACCACAGTGGTCTCTTGCACTCAGTAACGCCTTTTGCAAGCAAGGAAGAGCAAGGGCGACGGCCGGATTCCCCAGCTTGGCTAGAGCTCCTCCCAACCAAGCTTCACAGCCAATTGAGAAAGAGAAAGAAAGAAGGGCGTGTGCTAGACACACTGCTGCCCACTGCCTAGGCAGGCCACATCACGTGAGGAATGGGCGGTGCCAGGCAAGACGCTCTCCCCAAGGCTCTGCCCCCACCCAGTCAAATCAACAGCGAGAGGAAGTCTACGAGCCAGAGACGCTGGCCAGTCCAGACCGAAAACAGGCCAGACCAGGTATGGGTGGCTGAAAATCTGGCCCGCCTTAATAGCAAGGCCACACCAACAACTCACAAGAGCGGCGTTCAGGTTCAGTGGAGGGAAGTTAACTGGGTGACCTTTAGCATCTTTAGATCGTTAGCTGTTATCCTACCCACTCTGGATTTTTACTCCATTTATTTGACATAATGCTGTCCTGAGTTACTCAGCACCTTGTACCAAAAACATAAGCTTTAGTAAAAGTTCATCTTCTGGGGCAGATACGATTCAAAATGGAAAATATCTTCAAAGAAAAATCTTGCTCCTGTATCATCTTCCTGAAATGTTAAACTGTTGGTTCAATTTCATATTCTCTATTTTCTGATGTCATATGAAAAGTCTGAGTTACTAAATAAGGACAATTAACCAGGAGAGAAATTCTAAATGTCACCATAATTGCAGAGAAAAACTTGAGACAGGTGAAGATGATTAGGGGTAGATAGATGGCTAAGCTAAAATGAGAACATCTCTCCAGTAAAGGGTTAAAAATGACTTGCAGTGAATACAGACGGTGTACTGTAGTGCTCTGAACTTCCAGTTCACCTAGGTTCAAATCCCAGCTCTGCTATGTATCTGGAACAGTGTATAAGAGCAGTGGACCTTGGAATCAGGAGGCCCTGAGTTTAAATCAGACACTTATTAGCTGTGTGACCCTGGCCACGTCTTAAACTTCATCTGTCTCAGTTTCATCATCTGTAAAATGAGGAAAATAATGACCCCTACCTCTCATGGTTGTTGTGACGATGAAATGAGATATTTGTAAAACACTTTTTGAACCTTAAAGCACCATATAAATTCTAGTTATTATTATGGAGGTCAAGTCACTTTCCCTTTCTGGGCCTCAGTTTTCTCATATGTAAAATTTTGTTGTTCAGTCATTTTCAATCCTGTCCAACTCTTCATGACCCCATCTGGGATTTTCTTGGCACAGATACTAGAGTGGTCTGCCATTTCCTTCTTCAGCTCATTTGAGAGATGAGGAAACTGAGGCCACCAACAGTATTCAGTGAATTGCACAGGGTCACATAACTAATAAGTGTATGAGGCTGGATTTGAACTCATGAAGATGAGTCTTCCTAATTCCAAGCCTAGCGCTCTATCCGCTATGCCACCTACCTACCTCATCTGTAAAATAAGGGGCTTGAATTAGCAGATGTTTAGGTTCTCTATAATTCTCAATTTTATGGTTTTTGGTGGTTGTTTTTTTATTGGGAGGTGGGGGCAGAGAAGAGAAGGAATTGGCAGGGTGGACACAGACCTCTGTAGACTAGCAAGAGAAATACCCAAAACCAATAAAATTTATAATCCATTCCAATATTTTCACTACCTGAAATTTCAAATTATTTGCATTCTAAATTGCAAAATTTTCTAACAGAAGTATCTTGGATGCTAACTAGTTCAACAAGCCAACTCTCTCATTTTATGGACAAGGAATCTGAGGCCCAGAGAAAAGCAATTTGTTCAAAGTGGCAGAGTCAAGACTAGCTCCCAGAATGCCTGACAATTCAAACCTGGATTAGTTCAAATAAGTGTCACAAACAAACAAACAAAAAAAAAACAGGGGCAGCTAGGTGGCGCAGTGGACAGAGCACCAGCCCTGGAGTCAGGAGGATGTAAGTTTAAATCCAGCCTCAGACACTTAACACTAGCTGTATGACCCTGGGCAAGTCACTTAACCTCATTGCCTAGACCAAAACAAACAAACAAACAAACAAAAAAACAATCTAAAAGATATCTAACTACCTTTCAAGAAATTAATTATAATGTTACACTGGCTTGTAAAGTAATCAAAAATGGCTATCAATTAAATTGAAATGTTCGAACATACTTTAAAAACTTCTGGGGCGGGTAGGTGGTGCAGTGTATAAAGCTGTTGGCACTGGAGTTAAGAGGACCTGAGTTCAATTCCAGCCTAAGAAGCTTACTTACTAGCTGTGTGAACCTGGGCAAATCCCTTAATTTCAACTGCCTCCAAAAAACAAACATTTTCCAGTAAAAGACAATTATACCTAAGCTAATCTACTTATTCAATGCCATACCAATCAAACCACCAAAAAATTATTTTATACAGAGTTAGAAAAAACAAGATTCATTTGGAATAACAAAAGGTCCAGAATATCAAGACAACTAATGAAAAGAAATGCAGGAGAAGGTAGCCCAGCCACTCCAGATCTTAAATTGTATTATAAAGCAGCAATCATCAAAACTGCTTCATACTGGCTAAGAAATAGAGTGGTGGATCAGTGGAATAGATTAAGTATGCAAGACACAGTAGTCAATGACTATAGTAATCTATTATTTGATAAACCCCCAGCTTCTGGGATAAGAACTCACTCTTGGACAAAAACTGCTGGGAAAACTGGAAAAGAGTATGGCAGAAACTAGGCACAGACCAAAATCTCACACCATATACCAAAATAAAGTCAAAAGGGTACGTGATTTAGATATAAAGGCTGATACTGTAAGCAAGGAATATAGTTTACCTATCAGATTTATGGATAACAGAAGAATTCATGACCAAACAGGAGATTAAGAACATTACAAAATGCAAAATGGATAACTTTGATTACATTAAATTGAAAAGTTTTTGCATAAACAAAGCCAATACAACCAAGATTAGAAGGAAGGTAGAAAATTGGGAAAGAATTTTTACGTTTCTCTGATAAAGACCTCATTTCTAAAATATATAGAGAATTAAGTCAAATTTATAAGAATACAAGTTATTTCCCAATTGATAAATGGTCAAAGGATATGAACAGGCAGTTCTCAGATGAAGAAATCAAAGCCATCTATAGTCACATGAAAAAATGCTTTAAAATCACTATAGATTAGAGAAATGCAAATCAAAACAACTCTGAGGTACCACACATTACATCTATCAGATTGGCCAACATGACAAAACAGGAAAATGATAAATGCTGGAGATGTGGGAAAATTGGAACACAAATGCATTGTTGGTGGAGTTGTGAAATGATCCAACCATTTTGGAGAGCAATTTGGAACTATGCCCAAAGGGCTATAAAAATGTGCATACCCTGTGACCCAGCAATAGCACTGCTAAGTCTGTATCCCAAATCATACAAATGCGAAAAGGACCTATATGTACAAAAATATTTATAGCAGCTCTTTTTGTGGTGGCAAAGAATTGGAAATTGAAGGGATGCCCATCAATTGGGGAATGGCTGAACAAGCTGTAGTATATCAATGTAATGGAATACTATTGTGCTATAAGAAATGATGAGCAGGGGGACTTCAGAAAAACCTGGAAAGAGTTGTATGGTCTTATACTGAGTGAAGTGAGCAGAAGCAGGAGAACGCTGTACATAGTAACAGCCACGTTGTGCGACGACTAATATTGATTCTCAACAATACAAGTAGGATCTAAGACATCTCCAAAGGCCTCTTGATGGAAAATGCTATCCACATCCAAAGAAAGAACTATGGAGTTTAAACGCAGATCAAAGCACACTATTTGCTATTTTTTTTTCTTATTGTGTTTTGTTTCCTCTTTCTGGTTCTAATTCTTACTGACAACATCACTAACGTGAAAATATGTTTAACAGGAATGTATATGTATAGCATATACCAGACTGCGTGCTGTCTTGGGGAAGGAGGTGGGGAGGGAGGGGGAGAAAAATTTAAAACTCAAAAGCTTATGTGATTGTTGATAAATCAAAATAAATTAATTAAAAAAAAGACAGTTAAAATCATGACTTTATTACAGTAGTTTCTCAGAATCCAGAACACAACGGAACTACTTTTTACTCAAAGTTGAAAATAACTTTACCAATAATGTTATTTCCATTAAAATAAACTATCAGGGTAGTACACCAGGAAGCATCAGCAAAAATCAGATATCATGTCAGTTTTTAAAAGATTCATTTTAAATAATGATTTTAATGGTAAACAAAAAAGTAAATTAACATATTAACTATGCCTAAATAAAGCCAAGTCATTCATCTAGTTTTTTTTTAAACTTATTTACATTTGTTCAATTTCACATTATTCTATTACAACTGAAAGATGGAAAAAATTTATCAATTATTATTCTATTACCTCCATTTTCCAATGTCAGGCCACAGCCAAGTTTTGTTTTTTTACCCCTCAATCTATCACAGTATATAATTCAAGCTAAAAGTCAATTTAAAACAAATTTCAGAGGCAACAGTAAATAGATCATAGACACAGAATTATAAATTACCTCAGAGGCCATTAGTTCAATCTCTTCATTTTACAAATCAGGAAATTGCTGGTCAGGGACTTGTAACTTGTCTAAAGCCACACAAGTACTTGTCAAAGATAGTATTTGACCTCAGTTCCTCTCTCTGATTCTTGGGCCAGGGCTCCTTCCCATCTACCACAATGCCTCCAAAAAAGGGCCTTTGCCTAGATGTTCAAAGTACAACACATTTGAAAACTGCTTTTCTCCTTAAAACAAATGTCTTTTATTTTTCTGTTCGTAATACCTCATCTGTCAACTTTATTTTTCTTTACAAATAGTTAATCAAAATGCTACAAAAAGGACGGGAGTAGGGGGAAAAGGACAGCTAGTAAATGTTTCTAATTAGCCACTATCTTGCACTTTACTATAACTAATTTGCAATG